GCGGGGGCTGCGGGTCGGGAGTGAGGGGCACCAGGGGGGTCTGAGGGGGGCAGGGCTGGGCGAGCAGGGGGCTGCGGGTCGGGAGTGAGGGGCACCGGCAGAGATGGGGGGGCAGGGCCAGGCTCCGGCCCTGCCCCCTCCCCCGGGGGCTGTGGGTCGGGAGTGAAGGGCATGGGGGGGGGCTGTGCCCATCTCAAGCAGACACCAGTGTGTGGCTCAGGGGGGCCTGTGGCACTGTTCTCCCCCCCCAGGTGCGGACGAGGCCCCCAGTGCTGCCGTGGGGGGCACCGAGGCTGACGCAAGCACCCAGCTCGTGGACAGGTCGGGGGGCAGCTTCTCCTCCAGCCAGGTCAGTGCTCCCGGGGGGGCGGGGGGGGGCAGGGAACAGAGCAGCCTGGGTCAGGGGTTCGGGAGGGGCGGCAGCGGGGGAATGGTGGGTACTGAGGGGCCCTTCCCCTTAGTGACCCCCCAAATTCTGCACCCCCCCCAGGACGAGGAGCTGGACGACATTCTGAACGCACTGGCCCTCTCCAGCCCCGACGAGGGTGAGTGCCCCCGGGGGAGGGGGCAGGGCCAGAGGCCGGGGTGAGGGGCTGGCTACGCCAGGCTCTGCATGGAACCCAGGAGTCCTGGCTCCCAGCCCCCCCGAGCACTGGCCCTTTCATTTGGGTGAAGCTGCACCAGCCCCTAGGTTGGTGGCCTGGCCCCAGGCCACTCCCTTCACCCCGACCCCTCATCGCTCCGTCGCCTCCCAGGCGGCGCCTTCTCCAGCCCCCCCAGCGCTCGGGCCCTCCTGCCCCCTCGCCAGTGCAGACGGCGGAGCCCCGAAGCGGTGCCGGGAGGCTGGGGTCTCTCTGGGCCGTAAAGCCCCCACTCGCGCCTGGCACCGCAGTGACCCCCGTGTCTGTGCCGAGGAGACGGCCTGGACCCGCCGGCGCCGGTCCCATGGTCCAGCCCCCGGGCGCTTCAGCGCAGGGTTCGTTCCTGGGCCGGGGGAAGCGGCCGGTCGTTGCCCTGCCCCGGCCTTTCCCCGCCGGCCGGCGGCAGGTTGGTGCCCTCCCCCCCGCGCCCCCGCTCTTCCGGGCCCTGGGGCCAGCGAGCCGAGCTGAGTCAAGCCAGGCCGGGCCGAAGGGCTTCTCCTGCGAGGTCCTGCATCGCTTCGGCTGGCAAGGAACCGCCCCCCTTTCCTCCTCCTCCTTAGCCAGGGAGAGAACCCAGGAGTCCGGGCTCCCAGCCCCTCCCCCGCTTTAACTAGTTGACTTTCTGTTCCAGATGCTCTTGGCCCAGCGCTAGCACCAGGTGCCCCGTATGCCAGTGACGTAGCAACAGGTGGGTAAATCCCCATCTGTGCCCCCCCCCAGCCCAGCCCCTCACTCCCGACCCCCACGCCCCTCGCCACGCCCACGCCCCTGCCCCCCCCGCCCGTCGCCCCTCCACCTCCGCCACGCCCCTCG